AATCCTACTTCCGTAGTGATACTGCCTCGGAAACCCAAGGAGGGGTCGCTATGAGTCAGGGCCGACTCGAGGGCACATAACAACAACAACAACAATGTGCCTCAATTACCCTAATGCTTTTTTGATGGTCCAAGCCTAGATTTTGCCCCATTTTAGTACTTTTATGTACTTAAGAAGCTTAATTAATGCTCATTGGGTTCATTTCTTGTAGTTGACTATAATTTCTTGTAGTTGACCCAAATAACCAAACCCACTGCCATCGAGTTGATTCCGACTGGTAGCGACTCCCCATTTGGGTTCCAAGGCGGTAAATCATCACGGTAGTAGATTACCTGTCTTCCTTCTGCGAAGCGACCGGTAGGTTTGAGACGCCAACCTTCTGGTTAACAGTCAAATGTCTTAAGCACTGCGCCACCAGAGTTCCTTACTATATACTACAGAACATAGGCTGTAAATCTTTCCAGCAGGAGACTGTCTCATCTTTCTTCCGCATGGCGGCTGGTGGTTCAAACCCGCTGACCTTTTGGTTAGCAGCCGATGCTTTAACCATGCACCACCAGAAGAGGAGGTCCTAAACCCTTGCTAGCACTATTGATCTTATCTCTATGCTTTCAGATGTATAATAAGCACACTGCAACGATATTAGAGGCAAATTCCTTTGAACTTTGCCTTTGGATTTCAAAGTCTTTTTTTTTTTTTTTTTTTTTGCGTAGGACCCAAGGTTAACAACACCTGTAACCCATTACACATGTACATGCCTGAATCAAAAGTTTCAGAACAATACTTAATCCACTACCCGAGATGTCCCTGATATTTCGTATTCTTTTTCATACAAAACAAAAGCTACCACATGCACCCGCCCCCTTTCCAGGGAGAAACCTGCCAAATTGATTTCACGAACCACTAATATAGGTCGTTAAAGGCCGATTGAAGAAAACTCCTCTGGTATGTCTGCTGCTGCTGCTTCCTTAAGAGGTCTTCCAAAATGCAGCACTTCCAGCTAGGAAGGCAGGGGTCTGCATATATGTCATTGAGCAGCACCACCACGCCTTCTCTGAAGGGGCCAGTTTTCCTCTTAGGAAGCAGCACTGTAATGACTCGGTGGATGATTCAGTAAGCGACCTACTTCCCTACCCTCTAGCTTCCTTGAGGTTCGTCCCGCCCCCTTTATCATTTCCCAGCGAATTTAACATCTCCGGGAGAAGTAGGCAGAGCGCCGAATTATCGATGCCTTCTCCACGCCCCAGGAGCCGCCATTTTTTGGGTAAGAGAAACATGTAGAGATTGCAGAGGTCTAAGGAGATGTTGACTGAGTTTTGCTTCTTTTTCCAGCACTGTGCGGTAGGGTCAGGAGATTCCATTGGTTCCCTTCCCCCGGGTGCCTCTCCGGAATGAGGCCTCAGCGCCTACAGGGGACACCTCTTCTCCGAGAGTAAGTGTGTCGCTTGGCACTGCTGCGACCGGACACCCGAGCGCGCCCCCGCGCGTCCTCCGCTATCGTTACCTCGCGCGCTCCCGCGTTCGCGCGCCGCTTCCCGCGCGCTCCCGCCCCTCCCCCGCCAAGCCTGGCTCTTGGCGCAGACTCGCTTGTTTGTTTCTGCAGGAGCCTAAGAAGAGGCCGAAGCCGAGAAGATGCCCGGGAAGCTGAAGGTGAAAATCGTGGCCGGGCGCCATTTGCCAGTGATGGACCGAGCTAGTGACCTGACTGATGCTTTCGTGGAGGTTGGTGCAGGGTCCTGTCCTTCAAAACATAGGGAGCTGTGAAGGCTCCTGCTCATCTCCCCCTAGCCCCTCGGTCTGGTCCCCTTTCACTGGCCTCTTGCATGCAGTGCTGCCCAGCCCTTGCTCGAAATGTTGCTGCCGAAACTGTAGCCCATCTGATGGGTGCACGGCTCGCAGGTGTCCGCAGCACACTGCCGCGCCGGGAGGCTGTTCCTGCCCTGCATGCTGGGATGATATTGATGTCCGGACTCCTAACAGACCATCTGCCAGTCAGGAGATCCCAAGGCGTGGCCATGCGGCGACTGAAACACACTTTCTTTAGGGTAGGGATTGCTTTTCAACTAGAGTGATAGGGATCATGTTTAAGAATATGGATACAGACCACAGTCTTATACTGGCACTTGGAGACTTAAAAGGCGAGAAAATCCAGCCCTTAGCGTAACGTTATCCGAATCATCAGTGCAAGTTCTAAAGCACAACTGTAACACTCTCTGCTCTTGTATAGACTAGTTGGTGCAGTTGATGTACTGTAGCTGGGTAATTTAGTGCCTTGAGGTAGGAAGTCAATTAAGTGCCCTGGATTTAAATTGCAAAATTGCTTTTTAAATCTAATGATTAGTTTAAAAGTCATGCAAATTAGCACAGGCCTAGTGCCCGGAAAGTAATAACTGAGAGTCTGAAAGAAGCCAAGTGAAAATTGTAGTAAAAATTGACATGATGAGCCAGAGCATTAGAGCAGTATTCATTTGGCCTATTATGCTTACAGCTGTGATATATGATAGTCTACAGCCTGATTTCAACTCATATTAAATACTCTTAATGTTCTCTGATGGGAGCTCTGGTTGCATAGTGCCTAAGGCACTTGACTGCTAACTAGAAGGCTGGTGGTTCAAACCCCCTAACCACTCCTTGGAAGGAAGGTTGGGCAGTCTACTTCCATAGTGATACTGCCTCAGCAACCCAAGGAGGGGTCGCTATGAGTCAGGTCAACAGATGTTCTCTGATAACTGCAGTTTCTTCCCAAACATTGCCATGGTAATTCTTAATCCCAACTTCCCATAATTTACAAGGTGGTTGTAGTTCTTAAAAATTACGTAGATTAAAAACCCCTTAAAAATACTTTATAAAACAAAGTTAGGTTCTAAGTAGTTTTTTTCCCCTACATAATTATCTGGTGGGAAATTTGAAAGCCATGACAGGGAACAAGTTTTCATTGTTTGAGGCTGTCTCTCACGTTGGAGGATATCCAGCATCTCTAGCCCTTCAAAATGTTACTAGAGTTTGCCTCAAAAACACCACAAGAAATTTCTCAAGCTCCCTTAGGAGTTGATACTGTCTCTTTTGCAAATCTTGACTTAGACCAGGGATGGGTTTGTTAGGAGACTTGACATTAAGGTGTCTGTTAGGGGAAGAGAACTTGGGGAAGGAAACCAAAATTGATAGCTCAGTGGGTGGGAGAAAAATTGGGAAAGTAATATCTCAGAGGCCAAGAAAGGTTTTTAGAAAGAGGAAGCCCTCAACTATCAAATGGGACTGAGAGGTTAAATAAGAGAACAGTAAAATCATTGGATTGGATAACATGGAAGTTATTACTGATCCTGGAAGGAGTTAGGAGAATGGACGCCTTGTTCTGTAATGATTTTTGTTGTTGTTGTTGTTATGTGCCTTGAAGTCAGCCCTGACTCATAGCGACCCCTCCTTGGGTTTCCGAGGCAGTATCACTACAGAAGTAGGATTGCCCAACCTTCCTTCTGAGGAGTGGCTGGTGGGTTTGAACCGCCAGCCTTCTGGTTAGCAGTCAAGTGCCTTAGCCACTATGCTACCAGAGCTCCCACTATAATTAGTATAGGGATTTAAAGTACACGGGAAGTGAGGAAGTAGAAACAATATGAATAGGGAACTGTCTCAAGTATTATGAAATAGGAGAAATAGTTTGGTATTTGGTGGATATGCAGCTTTTAGTATTTTTTATATATATATAAGAAGATACTAAAGCATATTTCTGTGCTAATAAGAATAATCCAGCAAAAAGGGCGAAAGTAATGCAGGAAAAAGGGGATAATGAAGGATTATAATAGCATGAAGGGCTCAATTGTGTGGTGTAAAGTGTAAGTTCAATAAGCACGTAAGAGGAGCTAATGAATCCTGGGATAGACATGAGAAATCTCTGTGCTGAGCTTGAAGGATGGAAATTTAGATAGGCAGAGAGGAGAAAAAAGCATTTCTAGAAGAGTAGGACAAATGTGATAAAAGCTAAAGGAGGAGCAGAGCATACGTAAACTGTAGGGAGGGCTCTTGTTGAAGAGAATTGGGAAATTTGGCTAGGTAAGAGGGACCCATGGGGTCATTGGGGGCTCAGTGATAGGATTCTTGATTGCCGTGCAGGAGACCCAGGCTCAGCTCCCAGCCAGTGCACCTCATGTGCAGCTTCTGCCTGTCTATCACTGCAGGCTTGAGTTGGCTCTGATGCTGAAACAGGTCTCAACACAGTTTCTAGACTAAGACCAGGAAGAAAGGTCTGATGTTCTATGGAAAATCAGCAGTGAAAACTTTATAAATCACCACACATTCTGATCTAAAACTGATAGTGGGGATGGCGCACATCCGGGCAGAGTTTCATTCTGTTGTGCATGGGATTACCATGGACCAGAGCCCAACTCCATGGCACCTAACAGCAACAAAGGGGGATCCAGATACCCCAGTGGTTGAAAAGTACTAGGAGCAGGGGCTCTCTTAACCAGCTTCCATTAAATGACCTGTTGCAGTGCTCTGCATTCCTTTCATAATGGACATTCACCAATGTCTCCCTATCATTAGACTGCTCTCCAGTGTGCCTTGTATGCTGCTTCTCCCATCAGTTGGCTGATAGGTTCACCAAAGGGCAGTTGTGTTTATTCCCAAACCTGTTTATGCCAACAATATTTGTTATATAATTTATTTAAACATTATATACATCAGTGAAATGAGTGTGAAAATGAATAATGCTATGTTTGATGCAGCCAGTCATTGAAAATTGGTTGTGAATTGGATGAAGAAAAGATTGTAAAAAATCTGGGATCTATATTTGTGTTTCTTTACAAGTGATTTTAGGTTCTACCACCACATTCAAGAAACCCAAACCTGAAATTAAAGGTGATACATTATAGATGTATAATTTTTTTTGTACAAAAAGATGATGGTGGTAGTTACCATAGAGTCAGTTCTGACTCATGATCATTTTGTATATAGTAGAACTAAACAGTGGCCTTTATGTCTAACAGTTGAAAGATGATGGGAAATGTCAAACAGAAGACTCTTACAGAAAACATCTTAACCTTACATTAAAAGACTGAGGAATGAATTCTTGTTTATGTCTTAAAATTTTATCTTAAAATAGATACATACATATATATATATATGTTTAATATCATTTTAAATGATTCTGTGCTTTAACTGAGTTATTTAATCAACTGACAAAATACTGGTCCTGATTGTATTGGTTAAGAGAATTTTTATGATATTTGAGGAGTTTAGGGAGCCAGTGAAGGCTGTTTGGTGTTTAAAGATGATTTATCTTAGGTATTTAAAGATGATGATTCTTGTAGGAATCTCCAGGATGAAGAAGAAGGGGTCTTGTATAAGGGAAGGGAAGCATCACCGGAAATATATCTCATTTTATAAACTGTTTATAAACTACATTGTCATTTTGTATGTATCCATGAACCTTTGAGGTAACAAGGAGAATAAAGGAAATTACTGTATTTTTATGCAAATAATGTGTATTACACAGTTTTTGCAAACTATGCAACCTCCTTCCATGTTAGATGTCTGTTGTATGTGTGTGTGCATTATATCTGTCGGTGTGTTATATGCTAAAAAAAAAAGGGTACTGTTTAACAAATGTTTTCTGTGTACCAAGCATTTCACTGTCTCTACATGCCTTATCTCATGTAATGCTAATACAACAACAAACGCAACGCGCGCTGCTGTCAAGTCGGATATGGCTCATAGTGACCCCTCCTTGGGTTTCCGAGGTGGTATCAGTATGGAAGTAGATTGCACAACCTTCTTTCCAAGGAGTGGCTGGTGGGTTTGAATTGCCAGCCTTCTGGTTAGTAGTCAAATGGCTTTGGGCACTATGCCTCGGGAGCTCCCATGTAATGCTAATAGTAACCCCCCTTTTCAGAGGATATCTAAGGAGCAGGTTAAATAGCTTTCTCAGGGTTGATTATGCTGCATTTCTGTGTGCAAAGTATCAAGGATATACTTATGGTTTATCTAAAACTTTCCTTATTTGAAGTAAAATGTTGCTAGGATTTATAAAGCCATTCAAAAACTAAAATATACCTAAAGGCTTTTGCTTAACTGCCCCAAACGGCATGTCATTTTTTTTAAGCCATTATTCAGATTCCTCTGTTGCACGATAGCAGTTGCTCTATACTGCACCTCTGTTTGGAGGGAGGAGGGTCTGAGCAGGGAAGAGGTCAACTGTCCATTCTAAACGTATCAAGGATCTGATAGTCCCCAAACTGCATTAAACAAACAAGCAAAAACCAGAATTTTAGAAGGAAAAAGGCTAGAGTACTTTGCTAAAATTATTATTCTATTTCTACTAAGAAAGAATCACAGTTCATTCAGTCTTACTTAATTCAGAGATTTTATTACTTGACAACTAAATAAATGTCTGAACACAATGAACACTGATGGTGTTCTTCAGTAAAGTAAAGGCATTACCTTTCCCCACTTACTAGCTGAATCACCCTGAGAAAGCTATTTAACCTGCTATTTAGATATCCTCTGAAAAAGGGGGTTACTATTAGCATTACATGGGAGCTCCGGTGGCCACTGTTATAGTTTCTTGTGTAGCCTTCTAGAAGTAATCTGTGCATGTACAGGAGTATGTTATATGCCTTATAACATTCTCCCCCCCACCCCCAATGAAAGCCAGCAAACTGGTCTGCACTACAAGTGACATTTTCTAGATGGTTCTCTATCAGTGCTAGAGAGCTGCTTCATTCTTTTATTTAGCACTATGTTATATGGCTTTAAGCAGCCTAGTGGCTCAAATTGGTTGCTAACCAATAGGTTGGCAGTTTGAATCAGGGCTTTGAACGGTTCAGTCATGGCTGGTGCAGTAAAATCAGAACGGACCCATATTTGTAAAATGTGGGTATACAGGAATGATAACTGGAATGGGAAAAATTACTGGTCAAAGCCCTGGAATGGGAGACTTGGAAGAGGCATAGTGAACCCTTTCAGGACCCTGATGCAGGAGATTGGATTGTTGCCAGGACTGGAGAGTGTAACATATTCAGAGTGGTGCAATTGGCCACTATTTTTGAGCAGGGCACAGTTATTTCTGACCCACTGTCAAAGAGATTTGGTTGCTATGCAACGTGTGCTCCCCTTATTTTCTAAGAGGGAGATTTAAATTTCTAGCAAGGCATAGGTCCATAATTTTTCCTGTTCCAGTTATCATTCCAGTATACCCACATTTTGTAAATTTGGGTCTGTTCTTTATTTGTTTTGTTGGCCACAACTGAACCAAGAAGAACTGGTGTGAAGCTCTGGTTCAAACCCACCAGCTGCTCCACAGGAGAAAGATGAGGCAGTCTGCTTCCCTAAAGATTACAGACATGCAAACCCTGTGGGGCAGTTCTACTCTTTCTTATAGAGTCACTGTGAATGGGAATCGACATAGCACACAACGACAATATATGGCTTTACCCTACTTAATTTAAAACCAGTTCTAACCTGATGGATAGTCATTGTTTCCCATATTTTCTTTCTATGTCTTTTGCTTCTGATGTATACTTGCACACCTCTGTATAATATATTTGAAGAAATGCTAGCCTAAAGGTAGACCCAATGCCATGAGTCAGTTCCGACTTTGGGCCATCCTTGTGCTTCAGAGTGGAACTGTGCTCTGCAGGATTTTCAGTGGCTGATTTTTCAGAATTAGATTGCTAGCCCTTTCTTCTGGGGCACATCTGAGTGGACCCAAACCTTTTAATTAGCAGTTGAGTGCATTAACTGCACCACTCAGGGACTATGTAAAGATATTTAAAATTTTGATACGTGTTTTCAAACTACTCTGTAGATGATTGTAGTTTACACTCTTTACCAACAAAGTATGAGAGTGCCTTGTGAACAAAGTGTCTTGTCAAACTTTTTGATTCTTGCCACCCTGAGCAAAAATTTAGTTATAGTTGGCATTTCTCTTAGTATGAATGGAGTTGACATTTTTTTATATGTTTAAAAGGCATCTGTATTTCCATTTCTGTAAATTGTTCATTCTTTGCCTATTTTTCTATTGTGTTATTGATTTTTTCCTTATTGCTTTAGATATTGGGGAAATTACTTCTTTGAGGGTTATTTAGTAAATAATTTTTCTCAGTTTATTTATCTTTTGACTTTATCATGTATCCAAAAAGATCCCACTATCATCAAGTTGATTCTGATTCATAGCCACGTTATAGGACTGAGTAGAACCTTGTAGGGTTTCCAAAGGATCTCTGGTAGTGTAGTGCTTAAAGCATTTGACTGCTAACCAGAAAGTTAGTGGTTCAAACCCACTAGTCACTCCGTGGAAGGAAGACTGGGCAGTTTACTTCTGTAAAGATTTACTGCCTCAGAAACCCAAAGAGGGTTGCTGTGAGTCAGCATCAACTCGATGGCAGTGAGTTTGGTTTTGGTTATATAGGGTTTCCAAGGCTGTAAATCTTTACAGAAGCAGACTGCCTTATCTTTCTCCCACAGAGAAACTGCTGACCTTTTTTGGTTAGTAGCTGAATGCATTATCTGCTCTACCACCGGATTTCCTTCCTTTTTTACCATGTAAGAAGTTACTACTTTATGTAATTCAAAAACTTTTGTTTACCCTCCAAATCAAACTACCTAGACACCAAATGGTTAGCACCATGCTTGATAAATTTTGATAAATCTAAAATTGAGTAACAACATAACTAAAAAAGAGAAAAATTAAGCAACAATATCAGCAAGTATTCCAATACCAAAAGGAAGATTGTAGATCAAAAAGGAAATGGGATTTCCTAGATTACCTAATTCAACCCCAGCAAAACACTGTGCTGGGTGTTGTAATGAAGGACATAACATTCAGTGAATTTTGAGGTTAGGAAATTGATGATGTTAACCGAAAGAATTAGGGGAAGACCTTGAAGTGATCTAATTTAGGAAAGGGGAGGGAAGCTAGGAAGTAGTTGCCTAGCTGTTTTGGGCTTAAGCTTGCTGACTACTTTTCAAGTCCAGGCTGAGGTTTCACATTTTCTGTTCTTTGGCTAAAGCAGGTCCCAGGGGATTTAACCTGCTTTCTTCCTTCTTCATGTCTTTATTTATTTATTTTTGAATCTTCATGATACAGTGCCTACCAGGATTGGCTGCGGAGCTCCAATCTGTGCTGTGGTTAAAGCACTTGACTGCTAACCTAAAGGCTGGCAGCTTGTACCCACCATCCTCTGTGGGAGAAAGATGAGGCAGTCTGCTTTCCTAAAGACATAACAGTCTTGGAAACTGTATCAGGCAATTCTACTCTGTCTTAGAGTTGCTATGAGCCAGAATCTACTTGATGGCAGTGGTTTTCCCCCCACCCCCCAAGATAGGCTATGAAATAAGATAGTGTTTCCATCACGGTCCTTCATTGTCCCTGAAGGTAGCAACATAAAACCCTTTAAGGATAGTGCTTTATTGCTGATCAGTATGTGTACCTAAGCAAGGGATAAGAAAATAACAACTATGGGGAAGTTAGAAAATATAGGGTAATATTACTAAGTTCTTATATTATGGATTCTAGTTCTGGCTTCTTTTCAGAAGATGGTAAGATCAGCTAGTTTTTTTCCTTCTGATTGTATTTTTGCTTTTCTCCCCTTTCCTTCCCTTGAATTTCCTCTTTCTTATGAACCCATGTTTACTGAAGACAATAGTGACTCCTTCCTTCATGCTGACATAATTAGCTATAATTTTAATTTTTCTGTAGAGTCAGAGCAGTGCAGTGGATATATTTTGCTCCAGGTGTGTCCTATAAACTTACCTAGACTTACTTCTGTCTCTTTCCCTTTTCTCTCAGGAAATAGTTGTTGTTTTATTCCTCCATAATTAATCTTTCGCCTTTTTTTTTTTTTTTTGCTAACATTAAAATTTAACTTATGATTTTGATACTTATATTTGAATATTTTCTTGTGTTTTAGGTAAAATTTGGTAATACCACCTTTAAAACAGATGTGTATCATAAGTCACTTAACCCTCAGTGGAACTCAGAATGGTTTAAATTTGAGGTAAGTTTCAATGTCACCATTAAAAAATTATTTGTTTTGGGTGAAAGTATACACAGCAAACATATACCTAAAACATACACCTATTTGACAATTTCTATATGTACAATTCAGTGATACTGATTATATTCTTCAAGTTGTATAGCCATTCTCACTGCTTTTTTTCCATATTACTCCATCATCAATAACATAAACTCATTGTCCTGTTAGCTTCTCATCACCTTTGGAGTTGCTGTTGTCAATTTGATAATATATAGCTAATTTAAAAGAGCACAGTGCTCAAGGTATACATTGTTTACTAATTAAGCTAAACTTGCTTGGTTAAAGATAACTTCAGGGGTTAGTTTCATTAACTGAAACTAAAGTTTTAAATATTAGGGAATAAGTTTCTGGGGTCATCAAGTGGCTCCCTGAAGTCTGGATTCCATAAGAATTTGAGGTGTCTGTCTCCATTTTCCCTCCTTTTGATCAGAATTCTTCTGTACATGTTAGTGTTTTTTGAGAGTATATAACTAACCTTCATTTCAGGAACAGTAAACAATTTTAACTTCTGAGAAAGGTCTTAATTCATAATATTTTATGATTTGAAATTGACTAATCTGTTAAATATCCATAATAACGTCATTGCAATTCCTAAATTGCTCCATGCCAGTTATTCATATTATTTTCTATACCTATATGTCAAGAACTATTTCCAATCACTTAGTTGGCATAGAGCTCTATAATGTTAGGGAAAGGAAAACATACGTGATAATACTAATAGATAAATATGTTGGTAGTTGAGTAATGTGTACGCAGAGAGTGTTATTAATGGAGTTAGAAGTTGGAGAGAGATCTTTGAAGGAATGATTCATGACCTGGTTTAGGACTCCTTCCTTTTTATTAAATGTATAAATAACACATAGTAAAGCCTATGAAAGTGGAAACCTATATAAGGTAGAAACCTGTCAGAGAAAGAAAACTTAAATATTTTCCACGAAAACAAGTGATAGAAAGGTAGTAGTAAAACTGTACCTTGTCAAAGGCAGAAAGCTTTCAATACCTGGAAAAACAAGATAGTGCTCTTGAGTTCTAGCTTTCACAGGTTTCACTGCAGTAGTAGTAATGAGGAGAGCCGTTGGATGATGGGTAAATCAGATAGATAGAGATTCTGAGTGACAGTTTTATTGTAATGCTTCATTATAAAAATTTTGAAGTACATACACAGGTGGAGGGATTATATAATGAATTTTTACTGTAACCAACTTTAATAGTTGTCTAAATTTTGCTATCCTCATTTTATCTGTAACATATCCCCCTGATTTTTTTTCAGAAATATTTTATGTAAATTTAAGATGTTTTCTAATTTTACTTATAAATTTTTAATTATATATTTTGCATAATTAATTTTAATTATCCCTTTGTTACCAAACCCACAAACCACATTATCATAAAAATAAACAATAATTCCTTTATATACTTTAATACCCAAAATACTCTTCATAGAATGGGTTGTTAGCCAAAAATTTATAATTATACAGAGAATAGAGAAAGGGATAATGTTTCATGTGTAAATTTAAAAATTTAACTAAGTATAAGGATTACAGAGAGAAAACTTGACCAAAGCAGCGTAAGGAGGATATAGAGATTTTAGTTAACTACAAGCTCAGTCTGAATTAGTGCTACAGCATGTTGGCTGTGAAATCAGTCATAGACTGTGTTTAAAAAATCTAATATTTTAATCATAATCATATATATATATTTACGTATATTTGTATATTTTTTGTATTCTACCATAGTCTCACTATCACCTAGAATATTGTATTCTATTCTAACCACTATATTTTATGATGGGTCCTGGCAAGCTAGAGAATGACATGGTATTGAGCGTATGGGCAGCCACAATAGGAAAAAAATCTTTTTTTGCCTTGTTCTTCATTATAGTCCCTGTAGTTGGCATAGTGCCTGCACATGTTAGATAACTTGATAAGGAGTGATCAAAGAAAGGAAGAAGCTAGACATTATTTTAACACCAAAAAAACCCAAACTCACTGCCATCAAGTTGGCCAACTCATTGCGACCCCTCCTTGGGTTTCTGAGGTGGTATCACAACCTTCCTTCCGAGGAGTGGCTGGTGGGTGTGAACCACCAGCCTTCTGGTTAGCAGTCAAATGCCTTATGTACTATTCCACCAGAGCTCCTATTATTTTAACATAACTTGTTTTTTTTCTTGCAAATAATAAGTTAGTTTTATTTACAGTTTTCTTTGAAATTGTCCTTAAAAATTTTGGAGTCATTGGGATCATTAACATCCTTTTAATCTTTAGCTAACGTGTAGGATATTTTATGACATTCCTTAAACATTTTTGCTTGATATCATGTATCATATATAGAGTAGTAAAATATAGGATAATGTATAGAAAAGGGAGTTAAAACCTTTTTTTAATGTGGGTTAATCACCCTACCTTTTGTCCTAGAGGTAAATCACACTTTTTTTTTTTTAATTTTTTTTCCCCCTTCAGAAATATGGCATCCTGTGTAGAAAAAGATGTTACAGCCTTTTTGTGTGCTAATCCCTCTATTTTTGTGCTTGGAGATCAACCTATAAGATTATTTTTCAGAAATAAGTCACTTTTCATTTGTTGTATATATACATTTATGGAAATCAAAAATTTAAAATTGTAAGATTTAATTTTAAGGTATACTTTTAGGTGGATGATGAAGATTTACAAGATGAACCTCTGCAGATCACAGTCCTTGACCATGATACTTACAGTGCAAATGATGCCATTGGTAAAGTGTACATTGATATTGATCCTTTACTCTATAGTGAAGCTGCAACAGTCATTTCAGGATGGTTTCCAATTTATGACACAATACATGGTAAGGAATAATAGTGTAAGAAAATAAATGACAGTTTTTTCCTTAAAGATTTTTGTGGTACATGTTGATAGTTTCAATAATTTTTAAGATTGTAAAGGGATCTTGTCACCAAAAAGTTTGAAAACTGCTAGCCTAAAAGTATAGATTAGCAGATGGACTCGTCCTTAACTGGCAGGTGCTTTTCTATCCAGTCTTGTATCTTGCTCCATTTTACTTTTTTGACCTGGCAATTACTTGGTTAATAGTTTATTATAAGAAAATAAGATATTTGCTGGGGTTTACCTATAGTGTGCTTATTATGACATTATTTACATTTTACTATTATTTACTAGTATTTATAATGGCAAAATAAATTGAAAAACAGGATATACTTAGGTAAGTTTGGGAATATATAGCCTATAGTGTTAGGGGCAAAAAAGTGTATTTGGGGAAATAAAGAGTGTTTGTAGAAAACTCTGAATGGCATATGGACCTGTGTATAGTATCTTACACATTGCAGAATTCAGGGTATAAAACATTATGATAAGGTGATGCTAAATTTATTTAAAAACAAAAAATTGCATATATATGGCATCATTGGAGAAATTGGCAGACTATCTGATAAAACGTTTATCACTGGATAGTTTCAATTTTGGATCATAATCTATTTTTCTTTCGCTTTCTTTCATATTTTCTGTAATGTACAATGTATTGTCTTTATATAATCAGGGGATAAAATACAGTCAAATGTTACATTATCAGTAAAAGAGCCTCCTGAAGAATTAATTTGGGCTTAGATTAAAGGCAGTAACTGTATGAATGAATGCATTTTCCAAACATTTTATATTAAATATGGTGGAGCAGTGGTTAAGTGCTTGGCTGCTAACCACAGGGTCTGTACTTTCAACCTACGAGCAGATCCACAGGAAAAAAGATCTAGCAGTCTGCTCCTGTGAAGACTGTAGGCTAGGAACCCCACGGGGCAGTTCTGCTATACTTGTAAGGTTGCTATGAGTTACAATCGATTCGAAGGCACAACAGTACAGACAGCAACTAAAACAACATACTTTTAATTTGTTTATGGGCCCTTTGTTAAGAACATAATTTATTATTTCAAGTGGGTAAAATTAACAAGGCATCTTTCTTAGTCTTCCATCGTAAGTGTGAATTTGATGTAAAGTCAGGATAGTCAAGTGATATTACTTGGTAAATGTTGAGATAGGAATGGGTCATTCTTAACTTAAGAGAGTTCTGAAAATGCTTATTCTTCAAATTTCTTGGCTTATTTTAATATATTCATTGAAATGAATAAAGCTGCTTTTGTAAAGCACAAAATGCATAAAGTCACATTTATGCACTAGTTTTTACAAACATAGACTCTGGAATCCTAGCAATCTGACTTTAAACCCTGACAGCCATTTACTAACTGTTTAACATAATAAACAAAACGACACAATAAATAAGCTGCACACACCATTTAACTTGTATTAAAATGGGTATGATGATACTACAGAAATTACCTCATTGAAATGTTAAGAGCATTTTGAGATACTGTATGTGAGGTATTTACAACCTTACCTCTGTCTTGGTCTATCATTTATCTCTAAAATGCCCAACAGACATTATCATCATCATCATCAATTTAAGTGAGGCTTCATTCCTGTCAGTCCTGGATCAAATTAAGTGGAAACTTGTGGTAAAAATGAAAATTATTTAATCTCTGATACATACAGGTCTGCTTCAGAAAATGGAGTAAAGTAAGTAACTACTTAGAATGAAATTAGGAAACAAAGTTAGCATTACTGTTGTGCTTGATAGATTATTTTAAAATCAGTACTTGGAATTTATTTGCTTGATTATTTCACTGTACATTATTTTCCTAATGTAGAGACTTGTTTTTCCCTTTTGAATTTTTAGGTATTCGTGGGGAAATAAATGTAGTTGTCAAAGTAGACCTCTTTAATGATTTAAACCGATTTAGGCAGTCATCATGTGGAGTCAAATTCTTTTGCAGTAAGTAAATTTGTTTTATTACTCTTTTAACAGGAAATTTAATAATTACCAAATATGGGAAATCAAAAGCTATATAATACCTTGGTTTTAATGTCAAAGAGAAAATTGTTAATTTTCCAGAAGCTTTTGCTTTAGCTCTGGGGAATGTTTATCTGATGTGAAAATAAATTGTGTCCATTTTTTTGCAAGTTCTCAGAAATTTTTGTTAGAAAAATCTAATGATATTTTACTCTTAATATGGGACACTAAAAGATAGAAACAGAGCACTACAGCCAAGCGCCGTGCTGCTATTCAAAATAACACATTTCTACAAGTATTGAGCCTTGAGAACTCTGTGAACTGTGGGACTGAATTGGACAAATTTGTACAACTCACAGCCAGCCTGGATTAATAGAGTGGTGTCTTGAGTGTCTATTTTAAGAGACAAGATTGGTGTAGGTATTTTCAGGTTCTTCCATTTTTGAATCTGATCAGATCTTATTTAAATCCAATGATGTGGTGATCTATGTTTTAAATGAATCTATTAAATAGTACAGTGATTACTGAAGCAGTTAGCCTTATGACCAAGAATTATTAGAAACTGCTGGGCTGTGTGACTCCTCAGGTTATGTCAGAAAATGCATGTTTTGATTTAGGCTACAGAATGTAGTATGTAGAAGAATTTCTGCAAAGGGTTTTGAATAATTATTTTTGTATTCATAATCTACCTCTACCTCTTCAGTTAATAATCATATAGTTGACTTTATCCTGATTTTTAAAATTTTGTATTGAATGCTATTTAATGTAGTCTATAATTGTTTTCTAAATGATAAAAATAGTTTATTATGCATAAATGAGAAATTGAAAGCCCTCATGAAAGAAAATGATTATTTCTAAGAATAAAGTGGATCTTAGAAGGTTGTTTGAGTGGAAGTATTAATACTATAATTACATTGAGATTACCATGGTAAAGGACTTTATTGTATTATATAGCCAAAATGTAAGTCCTTCGGTGTACATTTAAATAAAAAATTGAAATTGAACTTAGGATAAACAGAAGCGTAATAGTTAATTTGTTTTAACAGCAACATCTATTCCAAAGTGCTATAGAGCCATGATAATTCATGGATTTGTAGAAGAACTTGTAGTCAATGAAGACCCAGAATATCAATGGATTGATCGAATTCGCACACCAAGGGCATCAAACGAAGCCAGGCAAAGACTCATATCTTTAATGTCAGGTATTTTTAAACAATAACTTTATTACTGATTGATTTAATACTCTTAACTTTAATACTCTTAAAAGCATTTAAATATTTATAATGATTTAGTTTTAATTTCTTTTTGTTAAGAGCAATATATTCCCTGTATTCTGTGGAACTGTTTTCTAGTTAATAGGTACGCTATGAAAAAGGACTTTATGTTTAATGTATTTGGAAAATGAACATCTCCTTTTCTTGTGATTGTAATATGTTAAAAACTTGAGTGGTTCTATAGTTAATCTCCTTTTTGACTTTACTTAACTCAGTGTTTTTTTTTTTTAATTGATTTTTATTGTGATTTGGGTGAATGTTTACAGAGCAAATTCATATTCCATACAGTAGCTCACATACACTTTGTCTTATGACATTGACTGCAGTTTCCCACAGTGCAACAGCTTCCCTCCCACTTCCTTCCCATAGTTACCTCTTCCCTGTGTCCTTCCCTCCCATTCATTCCTGCCCCCCCCAGCTGTCTCCTTGTGCATACACAGCCCTTGTATTCTCCCGTGATTGATCTCTCCAAGGAGTGTGTCTACCTAATGTAATTTAAATGTTCAGCTCATTGTCTGTCTTTTGTTTGGCTGGAAGCCACCAGAGTGGGTTCAGTCCCAGACCTGAAAGGCAACTAGGGGCCATAGTCTCTGGGTTTCTACCAGGCTTTATCAGATCAACAAACCTCGCCTTTTTTTTTTTTTTTTTTTTACGATTTTATAACTCAGTGTTTCTTAAACTTAACTGAGCACAACACACTTTTTATTTGTGCATACAGAAGGTACCTAATAAGTATTTGCTAAATTAATGAAGCATCTTCCAGACCACCTTTCTGTTAAAAACCAATTTGGGAAATGCTGATTTGATTTTGAAATTAACCTGGAGAGATGGGTATAAAACTCAAACCCACTGCCATTGAGTCATTTCTGACTCGTAGCGACCCCTCCTTGGGTTTCTGAGGCAGTATCTCTACAGAAGATTGCCCAGTCTTCCTTCCAAGGAGTGGCTGGTGGGTTTGAATCATCATCCTTCTGGTTAGCAATCAAATGCCTTAGACGCTATGCCACCAGAGCTCCCAGAGATGGATGTAGCTATGTATATTATGAAGTGGCATTTAAGAACTAAATTCTCATTTATAGTCATTATTTTCTTTTTTTTTTTAATTTAATTTATTTATTTTTATTTATTTCTTTTATTTGGGTGAAGATTTACAGAGCAAATTCACTTTCCATACAGCAGTTCACATATACTTTGTTGCATGTCATTGACCACAGTTTACCACAATGCAACAGCTCCCTTCCCACTTCCCCATAGTTACCTCTTCCCAGTGACCATCCCTCCATACTCTCCTGTGCCCTGAGCTGTCTTCCTGTGCATAAGGAGCCCTTCCTTCTCACATGATTGTTCTCTCCAGGGCGTGTGTCTACTTGAGGTAAATGTTTAACTCACATGCCTGTACTTTGTTTGGCTGGAAACCACAGGTGTGGGTTCAATTCCAGACCTGAAGGACAGCTAGGGGCCATAGTCTCAGTGGTTCCACCAGGCTCTATTGGACCAGCAAACCTGGTCCTCACTTTCTTTTTTCTTTTTTTTTCCCTAGTCATTTTTTTAAGGGTACTTTTAAGTAGTATGTTTATGTTAGCTTCAGAATATATATCTGAACACTTAATTGTGATATGAGTAAAAGTTTACAAAGCACATTAGTTTCACATTCAATCGTGTGTATATATTTTGTTTCATGATAATCAGTTGCAATCCCCTCAGTATAACAACATTCTTCCCATGTCCTCCCTGGGTTCCCAGTTTCCATTTGTCCATCCCTCCTGCCTCATCCTGCCCTCTGAACTTTGTTCTTGGACAGACACTGCCCTCTTGGTCTCACATGGTTCATTGTTCTGAGGAGTACATTTCTCACTGGTGTCGTTTGGGCTCTAGACCTATCTATTGTTTGGCTGAAAGGTGTCCCATGGATGTGGGTTTGGTTCAAGGTTTGAAGAGTGTTTGAGGGCCATCGTCTTGGGACTTTGACTAGTCTCTATCAGACCCGTAAGTCTGGTGGTGTTTTTTTTTTTTTTTTTTTATGATTTTGAATCTTCTACATTTTTTTCCCACTCTGTATAGGACCTTGTATTGTGGTCCTGATCAGAGCAATTGGTAGTGGTAGCTGGCCACCATCTGGTTCTTCTGGTCTCAGGCTAGTAGAATCTGTGGTTCATGTCATCCATTTGTCTTTTGTAGTAATTGTTTTCTTGTGTCTTTGACTTTCTTCATTCCTCTGTGCTTTGGATAGGGAGAAAACAACAGTTGCATCCTAGATGGTTGCGTGCAAGCTTTTAAGACCCCAGTCACCATTCATCAGAGTAGGATGTAGAACATTGTTTTTGTGGACTGTGTTTTGCCTGTTGACCTAGATGTCCCCCAAGACTATGGTCCTAAGCCCTCAAGTCCAGTGACTCAGTCTCTCAAGCTATTTAGTTATAGTTCAAAAGTTTGTATGACTTTCCCCCTGTGTGTTCTTCTATATGCTTGGATATATTTGCAGCATATACAAATACGTATGTAGAAATATTCTCTGCCAAACTTATATTTGTAGATATATTTCCATATGCCATCTCACACCTGTTCCTCTTGCATATCTACCTGTGTATGCATTTCTAAATTATTATTTATTACCATTATTGCAGGATTTTATGTGTAATAATATTTACCGCTGTAGCTTCTTACTGTTGTGTACCTCCCAATGTCTTCCTTTGCCTTGGTCATGTTATGCTGACCTCCTCCTTATAGTGTATTGCCTTTCCCTTCAGCTAAGTTAATATATGTCTTACTACCTAGTTAGGGATTTTCCTTCCCTACCCCCTTCTATCCCTGGTACCCTTCAAAGAGTTTCTTTCGGTATGCAAAGTGTTTCTTGACTTTTTATAGTAGTGGTCTGTGTGTCTCGGATTGTACCAGTATCAGGCTGTTTTGACTACTGTGTGTAATAATAGGTTCTGAGATCGGGAAGTGTGAGGCCCCGTACTTTGTTCTTCCATAATGTTTTACTTGTATGGGGCCTCTGCCTTCCATATAAAGTTTGTGATTAGTTTGCCATCTTGTTAAAGGATGTTGTTGGAATTTGGATTGTGATCGCTTTGTATCTATAGATTGCTTTGGGTAATACTGACATTCTCATAAAATTAAGTCTTCCTATACATGAACATGGTGTATTTTCCCATTTATGTAGGTTTCTTGGTTGCTTGCAGTAGTGTTTTGTAGTTTTCTTTGTTTAAGTCTCTATGTCCCTAGTTAGATTTATTCCTAAGTATTTTTTATCTTTTCGAAGTCTGTTACAAATGGTATTGTTTTCATGATTTCCTTTTCAGAGTTCTCTCTGTTTGTATAGAGGAATCCAACTGATTTTTGTTTGTTGATCTTGTACCCTGCCTCTTTGCTGAATGCTTCTTTTAGTTTCAGTAGCTTTCTTGTGAAATCTCTGGGATTTCTATGTATAGTATCAAATGTTCTGCAAATGGGAATAATTTTACTTCTTCCTTACCGATTTGGATGCCTTTATTTCCATTTCTTGTCTTACTGCTTTAGCTAGAACTTCCAGTACAATATTGAATGAAAGTAGTGAAGAAGACATTTTTGTCTGATTCCCATTTTTAAGAGGAATGCTTTCACCCTCTCTGTGTTGCAGATAATGTTGATTGTTGGTTTTGTATAAGGAACTCTGATGGCATGCAATGCCTAGTCATTTGACTGCTAACCAAAAGGTTGACAGTTCAAACTGACCAGCCACTCCATGGAAGGAAGATGAGGCACTTTACTTCTGTAAAGATTTACTGCCTTGGAAACCCAGTAGGGGTTGTTGTGTGATGGAATTGATTCAATGGCAATAGGCTTGTTTTTTTTTTTCCCCGGTTGGTTTTGTATAAATGCCCTTAATTATGTTGAGGAATTTCCACTCTATTTCTGTTTTGCTGAGAGTTTTTAATTAGGAAATGGTGTTAGAGTTTATCAGTTGCCTTTTCTGCATTGAGACACTCATGTGATTTTTCTCCTTTGCTTTATTTACATGGTGAATTACATTGATTGATTTTCTAATGTTGAACCATCCTTGCATACCTGGTATGAATCTCATTTGGTCATGATGTAGTATTTTTTGATATGCTGGCTAAAATTTTGTTGCGATTTTGTAATCTATATGTTCATGAGCGAAAGTGGTATACAGTTTTCATTTTTAGTGGTATCTTTGCCTGGTTTTGGTATTAGGGTTATGTTGGCTTCATAGAATGAATTTTGGGAGTATTTTGCCCTTTTCTATGTTCTTGAAAGGGTTGAATAGAATTGGTGTCAGTTATTCTCTGAATGTTTTATAGAATTCACCAATGAAGCCATCTGAGCCAGGACTTTTTTTTGTTGGGGATTTTTTTATGACCTCATCTATTTCTTCTTTTGTGATGGGTCTGTTCAAATTTAGATTGGGTAAGCAGTGTGTTTCTAGAAGTTAGTCCATTTCTTGTAGGTTTTCAGATTTGTTGGGAGTATACTTTTTCATAATACTGTTTTATGATCCTTTTCGTCTCAGTTTTGTTGTGATGTCCCAGTCTCACTTCTTGTATTTGTTATTTGCATCTTGTCATTTTTTTTCCTTTGTCAGTTTGGCCAGTGGTTTGTTGATTTTTATTTATTCTTTCAAAGAACCAATTTCTAGTCTTATTGATTCTGTTTTCGGTTTCATTTTTTTCTGCTCTATTATATTCTTTCTTCTAGTGACTGTGGGATTGTTTTGCTGGTGTTTACTATGTATTTGAGTTGTAGGGTAAAGGTATTCATTTTGGCCCTTCTTTTTTGATGTGTGTATTTATTATTATAAATTGACCTGTGATTACTACTTTTGCTGTGTCCAAAAGGTATTGGTATATTGTGTTTTCATTCTCATTTGATTCTAGGTATTTTTAAATTTTGTTTTTAATTTATTATTTTAACTATTGGTTTTTAAG